GTCTCATGGCAACATGGGATGAATTTGACTCTAAAGGATCATAATCTGAAGAAGAGCATGCTAACATCGCATTTATGGCTACCATAGAAACTAATTCTGACTCAGAAGAGGTATTTTCTGAACTTTCTCATGTTGATTTAGAAGTATGTCTATCAGAATCTCTGAGTAGGTATCAGAAACTTAAACGAAAATTCAAGAACCTACTGAAGGTTCATGAATATGAAATTGAAGAGTATGGTAAGCTAGAGAAATAATTTTTGAACAAAAAAGCGACAATTTTATTTTAGAAAAAGAAAATGCTTTTCTAAATAAAAGTGTTTAAAACTTGAAGAAACTCTTTCTAAATCTCCCCCGTCTTCTAAAACAATCTTATATAAATATGATAAGGCATTTAAGAAATTCTTAAACAACAATATAGGGAAAAGTAAAATGGCTTCCATGATCTATGGTGTCAGTCATAATGGTAAAAGAGGAATTGGTTATGTTTCTAATAAAGACAATCAAGAAAACAAACATGAATCTCCTTTTTCTTATCTTTACAATTCTGCACAAACACAAAAAGTTAATACTGCATCAACCAATGGTAATAAGTATGGACTTGTTACCGTAGATGGCTATAGTCGTTGGACATGGATAATATTTCTAAGGCACAAGGATGAGTCACATTCTGCATTTACTAGTTTCTGTTATAAAGTGTAAAACGAATTTGATTCTAAAATTATTAGAGTCAGAAGTTATCATGGTGGAGAGTTTGAAAATAAACATTTCGAGGAGTTATTTGATTCTAATGGCATATTCCATGATTTCTCCCGCCCTAGAACTCCATAGCAAAACAAAGTTATAGAGAGGAAGAATAGGACATTGCAAGAAATGGCCAGAACCATGGTCAACGAAACTAATATGGCTAAACACTTTTGGGTAGAAGTTGTGAATACAACTTGTTACATTCAAAATAGAATCTTTATAAGACCTATTATGGAAAAGACTCCTTATGAACTGTGTAAAGGAAGAAAATCCAACATTTCTTATTTCCATCCTTTTGGATGCTCATGTTTTATTCTGAACACTAAATAAAGTCTTAACAAGTTTGACTCTGAAGCATAAAAGTGTATTATATTGGGATACTCAGGACGCTCTAAGGACTACAAAGTATACAATACAGAAACACGTATTGTGGAGGAATCAATTCATGTTAGGTTCGACGATAAACTTGACCCAGAAAAGTCAAAGTTGTTTTAGAACTTTGCATATCTAGAAATAAACCTTGTAGGTTCTAGAGAAAAGGCTAAAGATTTTGAAGATAAATATTCCAATAGAAAGGATGATACATCAAAAGTACCTGAATGTTCATCAGTCCAGAAAAGAAAAAGGAAAAGACAAGCCTTATCTGAACATTTGATTCTAGGAGATAAAGCTGAACTTGTCAGAATAAGATCCACATTTAAATAATCAGAGGAAACACTTATGGGATTGGTCTCTATGATATAACCAATTTCTTGTCAAGAAGCACTTCAAGATAATAAATAGATTCTACAATGTAAGAAGAGTTGGATCAATTATCTAGAAATGATGTTTGGGATCTGCTTCCTAAGCCAAAAGGGACTCATGTTATTGGAACTAAGTGGATCTCCAGAAACAAGTTCAATGAGAAAGGAGAAGTTGCCAAAAATAAGGAACAAATGATTGCACAAGGTTATAGTCAACAAGAAGGTATCGACTACAACGAAACATTTGCTCCAGTCGTCAGGTTGGAATCAATCCACCTTTTAATCTCTTTTGTTGTTAATAATCATATAACCTTATATCAAATGGATATCAAAAGCGTGTTTCTGAATGGTTACAATTCTGAAGAGGTATATGTACACCAACCTCCTAATTTTGAAAGTACAAAATTTCCACAACATGTTTTTAAACTTAAAAAAATCATTGTATGGTCTGAAACAAGCTCCTAGAGCTTGCTATGATAGAATAAGTACTTTTCTTTTAGAAAATGGTTTCTTAAGAGGCATGGTGGACTACCATTTTCTGTAAAAACATTGGAAACGATATAATGTTATGCCAAATATATGTGGATGACATTATTTTTGGTTCTGCTAAACCTCTATTTCACAAGAGTTTTCTGACTTAATACATGCATAGTTTGAAATGAGTCTAATACAAGAATTAAAATACTTTTTGGGAATACAAATAAATCAAACTCCATAAGCTACATATATTCATCAAATAAAATATAGAAAAGAACTTCTGAAGAAATTTGATATGTCAGATAGAAAACCATCAAAGAATCGTATGCATCCTACATGCATTCTGGAAAAAGATGAGGTAAGTACAAAGGTTTTTCAAAAGCTTTATCGTGGTATGATAGACTGACTTCTTTATCTGACTGTTTCTCGTCTAAATATTTTATTCACGGTATGTCTCTATGCTCATTTTTAATCAGATCTAAGGGAAACTCACTTAACAACTGTTAAGAGAATCCTAAGGTATCTTTAGGGAACATCTAACCTTGGCTTGACGTATAAGAAAACATCATAATACAAGCTATCAAAGTTCTGTGATGCAGACTATACCGAAGATAGAATAGAACGTAAAAGCACTTATGGTAACTGTCAGTTTTTGGGTGACAATCTCATCTCTTAGTCTAGAAAAAGGCAATCGACTATTGCACTAGCATTTGCTGAAGTGAAATATATATCAACATCACTTTGTAGAACTCAAATGCTTTGGATGAAAAGTTAACTTGAAGATTTCCATATATACGAGGGTAACATTCCTATAATTTGTGATAACACAGCTGATATCTGCTTAAGTAAGAATCCTATTTTTCACTCAAGAGCTAAACACATAGATGTCGAAAATCATTTTATCAGAGACCGTTCAGAAATGGATTATTATTTTAAAATTTATAGATACAGACCATCAATGGGCCGATATTTTCACATAACCCTTAGCTGAAGATATACTTCTATTTATTCTGAAACATTTAAATATGGTACTCTGTCTAAAATGAAAATTTTCCTTTTGTATGTGTTTTACTAATGTTGTGAAAAATGTGTTTCTAACTATATGCAAATAATTCATTATTTATTCTAATGATACTTTAACTAGTTAGAAGATGCCTTGGTCAGAAACATCTAAAGTCAGAAACCCTTTGATTTTCTTAACTTTGAGAACATCAACATGCGTGTTTTCAAACAAATGGTCTTTTATGCACCGTTTGAATAACACCTCGAGCAGTGGAAAATTGTTTTGAGATTAGGTAAAATATTCACGTTTCACTCCTATCATTTTTTAGTTAAGGAAATATTGAGACAATTTTTTGTTGAAAATAAATATTGTTAGCATAACCTATCTATTCTCATGTTTCTTTTGTCTTCTTGTATTAATTTTCCCTAATAATTGTCTTTGAAATAATGGTTATCCTTTATTCTCCTTAGTCTCTAGCTCATACATTAACTGCTTTGAGTATCTCGAGTCTGATTGCCTTCTGAAGGATATCGATTCTCTTGTCAGTTATGTTTTATTCTCTTATATATATATATATATATATATATATATATATATATATATATATATATATATATATATATATATATATATATATATATATATATATATATATATATATATATATATATATATATATATCCCTTCTTGTTTCATCTCACTCTTCATCCTTCATTGTGTCTTCAATACTAATAACCAAAGAAGAAAATCAGAATTGGTTATAACTGTTTTACTATTCACTTACTCAATAAGAATTCAAAGATTACAAGTGAATAACAACAACCAACATCTCTCAATAGCCTAAGAGAAACAATTTATTTATAGACTACTAAACTAACTTAACCTACAAGTTAACTTAAATAATTAGACTAAACAAATAGGCCTAATTTGATACACTAACAATCCTAGTATTTTGACTACTGCATGCTTGAGCATACTTCGACTACAATATGCAGGACTTCAACATCAACATTTGAACAGACTTTGACAACATACTTCATCTCCATCGAACCAAGAAGTTACCCTTATCGAGACTAGAGTTTGATCCAAAATTTCACACTCATTAATAGACAAACGAGGATAAATAACAAACTTTATTCTAATCTTTTAACTGTGATTGTAAGTATACTTCTATCATGGTTGGAAGATTCAATGTCACATATTAAATGGGTAAAAGAAATCATAAATATCTGATTTGTTTGATTATATACATAAACGATCTACGTGCCTAATTGGTAAAATAAAATTCAAAAAAATGAAGCGCGTCTTAACATTGAAAGTACTTAAGTGCACAAATTCAAATTGACATTCTTCTTCAGTTTTTTTGTGAAGAATTTATATTTTGAAACACTTGTTTTAATGCTTGAATCTCATTTACATTCCATATGTTTTAATGATGAGATAAATTTTGTGACATTCTTTTTTATCTTCTAAGTGAATAATTTAAGTTCAAATATAATTGTTTCAATGCTTGAATCTCCTTTTCTCATTAAATGAGAAGATTAAATTGATTGAATATTTTATTTAATTTTTAGCACGGTGTCTCTTGTGATGCCATACATATCCACAATTATATATTTCATCTTTAGTTCAGCTTGTTTGTCGAGGACAAATAACAATCAATTTCTAGTGTCTACTAAATGGACACGATCATAATTAGTAATTGATAAAATATAAGAAAAACGACAATTTTAAAATTACGCATAAATAAATATATTAATTTTGACTATGGTGGTGACATGAATGATAAAAAGGTCTACAATAAAGTATGTCTTTAGTAGCAAGAGAACTTATTTATTGGAAATAATTGGTTCAATCCACCGAGACCATGCTGACAACTAAAGCATAGTACATGACATCATGTGAAGTTGTTAAAGAAGCCTTATGACTTACATGATTGTATAAGAGAACTAAGTGTTGAGCAAGGTGGAGTTCAGTTGCATTATGATAGTCATCCTATAATTTATTTGACAAATAATCAGGTGTATCATGCCATGACGAAGCATATTGATGCGCAGTTTCACAAGATGAAAAAGTTACTTGCATTTAGACACACATTACTTGAAAAAGTTCATACTTTAGAGAATGCAACTGAAATGTTGATCAAGTGAGTCATGAGTGACAACATACAAGCATTGCTTGAACTTGTTACGTATTTCTCAGTGTTAAGTAGAATGTATACCTCATCAGTCGGCTGGATGTGATCGTCATGCAGAAAGTCTTTATAGGGGTTTGATATGCGACAATGTGAAGATTGTTAAGTATGACTATATAAAGATAAAGAAGAATACAATATGTGTTAATTCGAAATGAGTCTTAAGTCTGATTGTTTCTTGTAGGTAGGTGACTAGGGGTGAAGAGGCAGTAATCCATGCAGTACAATTTTGAGGTATTATTGTAAACGGAGTCGTAGTATTATATATTATTTGTAACACTGTAATCATAATTATTAAACAAAAATCAAAGAAACTATAGTTGTTTTATATTCGCAGAAACAAATACTATTGACCGAATTGTATTAACAAAGATCATCTCTGTTTATTGTATTTTACTTTTATTTTTCTTTAATCCTTTGTACTAATTGCTATTATAACATATTTATTTATAATAAAAAAAATGAATTTGAAAAAAACTAAAAGTAGAATAAATAAAATGAATTTAAAATTTAATTAAAAAATTAGAAATGAAATAATTTTATTAATAAATACATTATGAATTTTTTTTTGTTATGTAGTATAATCAAAAATGAAATGGGTATGTGTTAGTAAATGAACCATAGCATCAACATAATGGGCAAAAACGTGTCACAGGTGACATTGTTAAAATGCATTGTATTTGTTGGCTTGAACATAGCTAGTTACGTGGCAACAATAAAACACTTTACCAAATCAACAATTAGAGGGAAAAAATGGATTAAGGTTTTGTCTTCTTACTGGAAATTTTCAATGCATTATGGTTTTGATAATTGGAGCATGAATCTCTATGTTAATCTTAAGCTTTGAAAAAGGAAACCAAGCAAGTTATGTTTTGGAGAGGGAAACGATTCTAGGTTCCTTTTTTACTGTTTCCATTTCCACTTGCAAAGCTTTGTAAACCGCATCAACCTCAACAAGAAGCTTCCATCTTCTATCTATGAACCAAGCAAGGTAAACTGAAATGATTGATAAAAAAAGTTACAATGTTATGTATCAAATGCCTTTTTAATGTTCATTTTAAGGGATTTAGGTGTTTATGCTCCAGTTAAGTACCACCAATCCAGAATTGAGGTTTGGAAAGATCCTTTAGTTAGTTTTCATAAGAGAAGTTGTTGCTTTTTTATAGTCTAAGAGAAAAATCTGTTGTTTGGCTCAATACAGCTCCTCTGTTGCAAGGTAGGGAGGGGGTCTAGTGAGTGGATGTCAGACTCAAGTCCCACATCTTCTACTTCCTAAAATAACCTATGTTCCTTATATATAAAATGAAAGGATCTTTGAGTATAATAATTTACGGAGCCGTGTGATAATGACATAGCGAACTATTCTTTCGCCTTTTACTAAAGAATACCGTGTCAGTGTCACAATTAGCGGCATACGCTAGTTTTTGGAAGAGTCCTCTTCATTGAGGGCTCTGCAAATTTAGTTCAAGTTTATCAACATAAAAGACTATATAAATCTGAAATGATATGAAACTTAATTCAATAACATCTGAAAGGTATTCTTTATGCTTTCTTGTCGCTTTAGAAGTGAGAAAACAAGGTTGAGCAATTGAGAGCTGCTTCACTTGAACACTTGACTATTCAACAATGCAAACACACTCTTCTTGCGAAAATTGCGTCTTGACTATTCAACAATGCGCTTCACGATAGATAGAGAAACCTAATTTTTGATCCTGGATGCCAAGTCTCATAACTAGGATTGAAACGATTTGGCAATGATGCAAATTAGTTCAAAAACCTATTTTTATTCTTCATGCACACTTCAATGAAGAGTACTGTTTGTTTCATCTTTCATTGGTGTTTTTTTTTTTTTGAATGAAGTATGTTATGTCTAACTGTTTATAATGGCATGCATAACCTGTTGTCTTGCGTTCGTACACTCAGGTAAAGCCTCTCTGTCTTCTACAGGATACTTTTGAATGCTATAGCCATGGTATATTTTGATCAAGAAAATGGTGAGGTCGCTAAAGACTTGCTTAAATAAAAGATGGAACCGATCGTTTAGCTCAATACAACACCTCTGTTGCAAGGTGAGTTCTTATTCATGTGCTATGTTTGCATTTAAATTCAATTGTCTCATGCTGATTCTTTTCACCGGAACAAAATATCTTTAGTAACTGGACTATTTTTCTACTGCAATGTTATTTTTTGCTGTATAATATTTGATTGTCTTAGTTGTACTTTCTACTGCCACATTGCTAACGAGAGAAATTAGATAAATTTGAAGTTATATGTAAAGGAAGCTTATTATGTTAGATTTTATCTTTGTGCTTGGGGCAATGACTCAGCTAGTGAGGTTCTAACTGAGGTGCGTCTATTGCTGGTTGAACTCCCTTAGTGGTAAAGTCTTAGTTTAGATTTAAAAATGATGGTTATCTTTCTGAAAAAATAACATTTCAGTTATACTTAAATCATATTTTTTTCCTTTTCTGCTGTTTTGAATGAATCAATATCATGTTGTCTTAGTCCCACATCAGTATTATTAGAGTGAATAGTATGCAACATCATGTATAAAAGAGAAGTGTGTGAAACATTATAACATACTTACCTGGATGGGGTCAATGGATGATCATTAAGGTCCATGGCCTAGGCAAGTGACCTCCATTGCACATAGGAGGGGTGCTAGCCTAAGGTCTACCCAAGTGGTGGAGCCTACATCATAATTTGTTGCTGTGGGGGCATGCGTTCGCGCGGCCCCTCCCAATTAATTTTAAAGTTTTTTTAAAAAAAATTCAAATATAACTTTATGTTTTTGATATTTCCATATAATCCAAGTTATCTTTTATCTCTTCTTCTAGCATTTCAGGGCCAATTGATGATGTTTTGCTTCTGTTTCAAAACCAAAAATGTGTTACCATCCTGGTCAGTAAAACCAGTGGTAGTAAGTAAAAGCTAATGAATTGTTGAACCATTATCATGTAGATTTTCATTAAAAAAAAGGAAGTATGCTACTTTTATTCTATGGTTAATATTTAAGATGTGTGCTAGTATTAGGGACTCTGGATCTTAATCTGTTTATAGTACATAGGTAAAAAGCACATGAGATGAGTAGAGGCAGTAATAACTATTATAAGCTTTTCTTTGTATTTGATTGTAATGTTTGACTATTGAATTGTATGTATCTATACAGACAAAATTTCAATCCTCAGCAGATCCTTAAAATTTAGATGCTTGCTTTGGGGAGAGAATAAAGACCCATCAAACTATTGAGTCATGTTCAAAAGACATACTCTAGTTTTAATCAAACGCCTAAATACACTTTCCAAACCATTCTCTAGCCCTTCAATTGCACTCTCCAAAGCTTCAAAACTTTCATGTGCAACCTGCATCTTGGCAACATCAGAACCTTTGCGTAAAAGGGTTCTCAAGGATGCATCCACACGCTGCAATTCATTTAAATTCTCCTCACATGATATTGTCCTCTTGTACATCAACTTTTCCATTTTCATCCATTTGGTTGCTTTTGACTTGGAAGCCAAAAAAGAAAAAATGGATTGAAAGATAGACATGTTCATTACTATAACCTCTATAAGAACTCTTGTCACATAAACAACTTCTTGATCTTGGTTCAAAAGTGTAGAAGCTCCAAATTTACTTTCCATCTGTTTTAGAGATGTGATCAACTTTGTGACATTTTTCTTCATCTTCTTTGAGAAGAAGTTATATTCAGCTACACTTGTTTCAATGCTTGAAACGCTCTTTCTCCTTCTAAGAGAAGAGTGAAGTGCTTCAACATTTTCTTTAATTTCTAACATGGTGTCTCTTGTGATACCACAAATATCCAAAATTTTCACTAAGTCATCGAACAACTCTTCCACAAAATTCTCACCTTGATGCTGAGAAATGGCCTTTTGTGTTGATCTCATATTGAGAAAATCTCCCAATGAAGTGTACAAATCTTCAAGCAAAGAAAGGCCAGTGGTAATTGATTCAGATGTGGATGTTGATGTGGTTTTCCATGTCTTGATTTTGCTTAGCTCTTGTTCTATTCTAGTGGAATTAGGATGAGATTGAGAAGGAAAACTATTTGAGCGAACATGGTTCTTGGTTGCCATATTGCTCTTAAATTTGTTCTTATTTTCTTCAAAGATAATTGTAAAACTCAATGTTTGTGTGATGTAACCATGTGATTGAAACTCTCTTTATATAAGAGCTACTCATGATATTGGTTGATAATTATTAGTTTCATATGATAAATAAATAAAATAGGTAGCACTTGTTTATCATGGCGTAGAGCATGCGGTGCATGCATGGATTTCCCTTTGAATATGGTAAGCTTGTCACATGTCAACCCAACATTGTGAATTTGTTAATGGTATTGCATGTGATATTCTGCAAGATGCTTATATCATTGAAATGTGTTTTAGGTGCATGATGAATATAACTGGCATGTCTTTCAAGTGTTGATAATAATAAAACATCTTTAGTATTCAATTAGTTTTCCATCTCTGCTAACACATAACACTCATAATTGCAATTATAAAATTGGTGCTGCTTGCTTCTTACATGTCATTCATGCACACACGACCGATTAATAGAATAAGAATTGTATATAATTTAGTTTGGTGTCCATATTTTAATCATATCCCACAAGATCTGAATCTCATCTTTGTGCAATCCATTCTTTAAACTATTTAGCTCCTCAGAATGGAACATGCCAGGCAATAGATACTTCTGAACCAAAACATCACATTCTTTCTTATATTAGAAGCAAAGTGACTGAAGAAGTTTTCTATTTACCATCACTCAGGTGACATGTCATTATTATGATGGAGTGTTTAATAATGCATATGTTTGGCACAAGTGTGACAAGTTTACTAATTTAAAAGGAAAACTCATGTTTCTACCACATGCTCACATTTATTAAGAAATGCGCTGCATTATTTTTTTTGAACAAAGCATGAATTGCTTGCATTATATATATTATAAATGTTAGGAAAGTTGATCATATAATGGATAGAGAATATTATTGAATGACGGTTGTGAACTCGTTCTTTGAGTAGTGTGCTTGGAAAAGTTACTGGGATAAACATTTCTGTCTACCAATCAATCCCTTTTATCCTTCTTTGCAAAATTGATCCATAAGAGAATATTATCTTGTGAAGAGAACTTGGAGAATTTCAAAGAGTTGTAGTGTGTAAAAGCATATTTATTCTTTAAGCAGTCTTTGAATGATCGTACTAATGCTGTGAAGATTAAAAGGCTAGAGGATGGAAGGAAGAGTGCATTTAGCCACTTGGTTAGAACCATTGGCCACCTGTTGATAGGATCGGCCCAAGGGATGGCAAGAGAAAACTATGCATTTTTCTTGGTGATATGGTTGAAGAAGAAAATGGCATGCCTCCCTTGTTTTTAGGATACATGATGGTAGAATGATATTACCTATTAAGTTCATGTTTCTGGTATCTAGTATGAGCTGATTAATTTATATTTTTTTGAAGCTTTATTCATACATGAACAAACAAAATTTATTAAACCACTACCAAGAAGCGTAAGATATGCTCCAAGCATGCCAAAAATGTAAGGTTGAAGTATTTCTCATTGTTATTTCTTTTATATATAAAGGTTATAGGGTTATACAAATAATTATACTAAATAATTACATTTAATAAGAACAAATCAATTTCTGATTTGTTTTCCTTATTCTAGGAACTAACCCTTATTATAGGAACAAACTAATTCCTATTCACACTTCACCGTCAAATTGATGTTGCTGGTCAATGAGAATCAATTTGTTAACAAGAAATTGATGACGTGGACGCAAAACAACCTTGATAAAAATATCTGCAACCTGCAACTGAGTACTAACATGAGGAAGTGATATTAGTTGGTCATCATACGCGTCACGAATTGAGTGACAATCAACTTCGATATGTTTGGTGTGTTCATAAAAAATAGGATTCACAATAATTTGGATGACACTTGTGTTGTCAGCATAAAATGAAGTTGGCTCTATTTGAGGAAATCCAAGTTCAGCCAAAAGACCACGAAGTCAAATTATTTCAGAACAAGTAGCAGACATAGCACGATACTCAGATTCAGTAGAAGATTTAGTGACTCTCGCCTGTTTCTTACTTTTCTACGAGATCAATGAAGAGTCAAGAAACATGCACCAACCCGAGACAGATCGTCGAGTATCCAGACATCTTGCCCAATCGTTATCACTATAAGCACTCAATTTAGGAATAACTTCAGTAGGAAAGAATAAATCACGATGAGAGCTTCCCTTCAAGTAACGAATTATGCGACAGACTACTGCCAACTGAAGGTGGCGAGGAGAGTGCATTAATTGACTTACTTGTTGAACAACAAAAAATATATCAGGGTGAATAATAGTTAAGTAATTAAGGCTACCCACGAGTTGACGATACAACAAGGGATCAGACAAGAGATCACCATCATCACGATGATATTTAACATTAACCTCAAGAGGAGTATTCACTGGATTAGCCGATTGGAGGCCAGCCATAGAATCAAATCTGTGACATACTTATGTTGATGGAGGAATGTTCCCTTAGACGTAGAATGAACCTCAAGACCAAAAAAATAATGTAGATTACCAAGATCTTTCATGTGAAATGAGGCTTGTAATTGTTGCTTAAGTCATTGAATGAAAGCATGATCAGAACCAGTAATAACCATATCATCAACATACAAAAGAAGCAGAATAATACCCGCAGATGTGCTATGAATAAATAAAGAGGAATCATACTGACTCTGAGGAAAGGAGAATCCAAGTAGAGTGAAACGAAATTTTTCGTACCATGCTCTGGGTGCTTGCTTCAAACCATATAAAGAGCGTTTAAGTTTGTAAACACCCTTGGATGAAAAGAATAAACCTTGAGGAGATGTTATATAGATGTCTTCAGTCAGGTCACCATGAAGAAAAACATTATTCACGTCCATTTGATGAAGAGACCATCCATTAGAAGCAACTATAAATATTATAGTTCAAACAATTGTCATTTTGGCAACCTGTGTAAATGCCTCATCATAATCAATTTCATATTCTTGCTTGTTTTCTAAGCAATCAAGCAAGCCTTGAAACGGTTGAGGGATCAATCAGAATTCAATTTCACAGAATACACTCATTTGCAGTAAATGGGTTTGACATTAGGAGGACAAGAGACAATATCCCATGTGAAATTTTCTTGAAGAGTATGAAGTTCCTCATTCATTATTTTTATCCAACACACATCTTTAACAACATGTGAGTAACAAGTAGGAATACATATATTAGAAAATGTGGCAATCGGAGAAGTATGTGAGGAGTCATACCTGTTTGGTGAATATTTATCTTGTGCTCGAGATTTTCGAACAGAACGTTGTGGTTCCATTGGTACAGGATTAGGTGGCGGTTCACCGTCGGGAAGGGGTGTGAGAACCTGATGTATGTGTTTTCTAACATATACATGACCTGGTTTATAATGTTCTATAGATTGAGGCATAATAGAAAATTTAGGAAGAATAACAATATCATTCATGGCATGAGAAACACAAGGAAACATAAATTGATTATAAAAAAATGTCACATTCTTAGAAATGCGAAAACGATGATTAGTGACATCATAACACATAAAGCCCTTATAAGAATGATTGTATCCCATAAATGCATATTGAATAGATTGCACTCCAAGCTTATGCCTTTCAAATGGAGGTAAGTGAACAAAATACACACACCTAAAAGTATGTAAATCACTATAATCATGATGAATTTTAAAAAGACGAAAGAAAGGACAATTAAGATCAATAACCGTAGAAGGAAGACAATTGATCAAGAAGACAGTCGTGGAAAGAGCCTCCATCCAAAATAGGGATGGTAAAGAAGCTTGGAGAAGTAAGGTGCGTGTTATATCAAGCAAATGATGATTCTTACGTTATGCCATGCCATTTTATTGAGAGGTATTGAGACAAGACCGTTGAGACAAAATGCCTTTTTGTTGTAGGTATTCCTGAAACTCATGAGACATGTACTCACCACCAGAGTCAGAGCAAATTTTTTTTAACACTTACTTGAAGTTGAGTTTCAACATATGTCAAATATTTCTCAAACATAGAAAACACTTCAGATTAAGAGCGGAGAAAATATATTCAAGTAAAACGACCACAATCATCTATAAATGTGATAAAAATATTTATAGTGAGCATGAGAAACTATAGGAGACAT